AAATATATGTTTATTAAATAAAGCCTAATGTTACAACTAATCATGGATCCCTTTAAAGAGTCCCCTTTGATGTCACTTCCTGTTTCGTTTTGGCTGAGCTAAATCCAAAAGAAAAAATGCCGGTTATGTGACAAAAATGGGTAAAATCACATTTATTATGGCAAGTTTCGAAAAAATAAAAATGATTTCTTCGGCTTTTTGTATTTGAAGGGCACGTCACAAACTCTTTTAGCTCATGTTTCATCTACGCAAAAAAAAATGACGGGTTTTAAAATTGCAGATTCAAAACACAAAGCTGACCAAGGTCATTGTCTTTATTTAGCTCTGTAGGTTCAACAAGTAGTCGTTGATGGAAATGTATATCCTAAAGGTTTGGACATTATTAGATWTATAGGTTTTGTTTTTTTAGTGAGAAATAACAACTTCAAACTGTGAACTCTGACGAATTAGAAAGCTTTCTTTGTTTTGTGAAGATTCATGTTCTGTAAACACCAGAAGTCTGCAATGTGTCAGGATTTAACCAACCAGAAGCTACTACGGTCTCTCTGACAATCTGAGGAACAGGCTTTTTTTTTAGCAGAATAATTATTGATCAGCACATCTGTCTGAAACATTCCTGTGTCTTTGGGGAAGTGCAGACTGTAGTCGTCAGTCTGAGCCGTGGCTGCTGCTCCACACAACCCTTCCTCCCACTTCCTCACATTCCATTTGCTGTTCTGCAGCTCACGTGCTAAAGCTACCGAACGTAGCTTTCAGCTGCTGGAGAGCACACACACACCTGATCGTGTGTGTGTGTGTGGCAGTTATCCTGTCACTGTGTGACATCCATCGGCTGTGAATTATCTTCAGTCTCATCGACTCGGTCATGAAGCATGAGTGGAACGTGGACRTTTTGCTGCATGGGAAAAGAAAAACTCCTTGTTTGTTGTGCGACGCTGAAACATCAAAAACTTTTGTTACCCTTGAAGTGAACCGCTGAGGATTCTGGGATATTCTTGGGGAATAGTGTACCTAATGCACACAACTCTTTTTTTTTTACAGGCGTTTTTCTATTGAATGTTTTTCTTTAACACCTAATGAAGTTCTGTTGTAAAGGTTTGCTCAGTTTGTACCTGAAAGACTTCAGACACTATGCCTCAAAGATAGAGTCCTCGCAGCTTTTTTTTGCCAAAAGCACAAATGCTTGTGTGTTTTTGTTTGTGTAGTTTTCGTGATGTGCATATAAAAAGTAAAATGTGGCGTCCTCACTGTTTGCTCTTTCTCTCTGATGCAAGATGAAACCAATAAAGATGCAGAACTCCTGTTTGTCTGTGGAGTCTCCTGTTTCTGAGTTCATAACGATGCTGATCTTTGTTCAAACCTTCGTGTCGCTCAGGTGAAGCTCAGAAACAGTTCTGAGCTTCTCAGGATCCATAAAGCGGTCCTTAAGAATCATCTTCCTTTGACTGCTCAGGTCTGTAGTTCAACGCCACAGGATCAAGCAGACCATCGGCTGTCTGTGGGCCGTAGATCGCTCGTGTCGACTGCATGAACAGCTATAAATGAGACGTCTCGTTCCCACGATACGTTTCATCACTTCGGTTTTTTCAAGGTAGATGTTACACACGTGACAACAGACGCACTGAATGGGCCTCATGCAAGAACCGTTCGTACACAGATTTGTTCTTAAGTTGTGCGTACG